GAGGACAGAATCGTCGTTACATGAGAGCCTCGCCGCCGCCCCTACCGACGTCCCACCGCAGCCCCCGACACCCCAACGGCCCCAGCTCGGCCCCACGCCCCGGCCGGGGGGGCTCGCAGGTGCGTGTCTGCCCCTCATACCCACTTCCCCCCTTCATGATCGACCCATGTGCGCAACGGAGAGCCCTGTGCCGCTGAGCGGCCGCAAGGGACAGGCCCCGCCCAGGGACCGCTGCTCTTGGCCCTTTGAGTGCCGCACGGGAAGCTTCCGCAAAAGTCAAAGGCGTGTTGATTGCATGACGTCATCCCCAAGGGCTGAGCCAAGCGCGGCTCGCCGGGGGGCGGGGCGCCCCTTGGTGGCGTAGCCAAGGCGGATGAGCACCAAGAGCCGCGCCCCTGTCCCCCCTTGGAGCCCACTCCTGGGCACACCCAACACGGCGCCCCAAAACATCCGCGGTTCAAACGCCCCAATGAGAACCACCCGTGTCACGTCCCTCAAAAGGCCCGCACCCCACCCCAGATAATATATCAATACGTGAAATCGAGGTGGAGGGAGTTCAGGGTTCATGCCTCTTTCCCACCTTTAACCCTGAACCCCCTTGACCTCACTCTTTGGCTCGAACCCGCCCCTGTCAAACCCCCATCAATGGCCCCACTGGGGCCACTGGCAGTAATCACCCATCAGGCTGTCATGCCGCCCCCACCTGTCATCGCGACGACCTCGTCCAGCCGCCCCTGCGCCCTCAGAGCCTTCACCGCCTCGACCAGCATGTGCTTGTCCCCCGGGCTGCAGCGCGCGAGCACGCGCACGTGCGGCCACAGCGCCGCAAAAGCATCGAGGTCCACCGAGCCGTCGGGCCGCTGCACCAACCGCCGCAGGGTGGGGCCCTCCAGGACGGCCAGCCGCGGGTCAAACCGCGGGTCAAACGGGTCAAAGGAGGCGGAGCCGGCGCCACCGGGCGGGGCAGAGGCGAGGACGAGTGGCGGCGCGGGCGCCGGAGTGGAGCCGAGCAGCAGCCCGGACACCCAGGAGCCGCCGCTGCCGGATGCGCCGCTGCTGCCATTGCTGCTGCCGCCCGTGCCTTGAAGGGCGGCCGCCCGCCGCCCGGCGTCGCGAGCCGCGGCGACCGCGCCGGCCGCCGCCGCCTCCGCCCGCTCCTGCAGCGGCTGCGCGGCACCGCCCTCCGCGTCCGTGTCCCCCTCGCCACCGCCGCCGCCGCTACTGGCGCAATCCTCGGACCAGCCGCGCGGCAGCACGCCGCACGCGCGCGCGATCGCCGCCGCGGTGCGCGCATTGTCGCCGGTGATCATCCTCACAAGAATTCCGGCCCTCTGGCAGTCGCGGATCGCATTCGGGACCTCGGGCCGGAGCGGGTCCTCGATCCCGACCAACCCCGTCAAAACGAGCCCCGACTCGACCGAAGACTCATCCAGCACCCCAGCGGATCCAACCGCGGCCCCGACATCGCGCTCCCGCCGCGGCCGGCGGTGGCGGTGGCCGTTGGTCGGCGGCGGCGCGGAGGAGTGGCCGGCGGTGCCGCCGTCGCCGTCGCCGGGCGTCGGGTCGAGCTGCAGGCGCTTGTGTGCGAGCGCGAGGACGCGGAGGCCGCCCTTGCCGCACTGGGCGCGCAGGGCGGCGCGCTCCTCCGGGCCGAGGGGGGCCTCTGAGCCGTCCGCGGCGAGGCGGTGGCTGTGGTGGGGGAGGATGGTTGAGATGGTTTGTGTGTGTGTGTGTGCGTGCGTGCGTGCGTGCATGCGTGTGTGTGTGTGTGTGTGTGTGTGTGTGTGTGTGTGTGCGCGTGCGTGCGTGCGTGCG